TATTAAATTAAGTTTATGTTTTCTCAGTCAAGTTTCTCAGTCAAGTGCATTCATTATGAAACAAGTTCAACTCAGAAGATTGTTGTGTTGTTATTCTGCTTATTCTGCTTCAAATGTTGAAAAATGTTATTTTTAGCAGTTTGGTGCACAAATCATGTTGAAGGGTAAATCCTGGCTCTAAGATAGACTTTATTAGTCAACAGTAAGTTCAGAGCAACTGAAGATACACCTGTAGTGAGAGCTTAAATTACATTAGTTAATATGCCGAACCTGGATGCTACATGCACTCACGGCTAAATGTTACGTGTAAGCCAGTGTTAAACATTCTTACCTCACTCTAAACACTGAAATAACATGGAAAGTGTGCGAACCTGAAACTATTTTTAGAGATAAAATATAAATATGTAAAACAATATGTAAATTATGTTTGTATATTGTAGATGTAGACACATGCGATCTTGCATCAACATGAATTAAATTGAGCTTGCTCGAGATGGGATGATAATAAACTGAATAATAATATTAACAATAAGAATGTGATTTAACATGAAACACTCTGTTCCATCAACCACAGCAGTCACAGCAAACGGCCCATCACAAGATGCGAGGGAAGGTAGGCCTAATTAATTATTTAATTTGTATTTGATTGATTGATTTATTGATTTATTGATATACTGTATTTTTCAATTATAAGTAGTTTGAAAGAGTTGTAATGTAATGGTCTACAACTCACAATGTCTCTGTTAATAAAACATGCAATTCATGTCAATTTTATCTGCAGCACAATTCTAAGCATTATGTATAGCATAATTCATACACAAACATTATTCAGAGCACTGCATTATCATGAATGCAAATAATACAGTAACTATTTTTATATTACTATTACACGTGATATACATATTTGTAATAATGTTGTTTTTAATTACTGTATCAGTGAGTGAAATATGTATAGTTAGTATCTTATTAGTATAGTATCTTATTATTTGAAAAACAAATAGTGATAAATAGCATGGATCATGGGATGATGGGAAAGGTGCCTCCACTCACTGTCTTTGCAGATACACCTGGTGGTTATCTAACGTAATCTAAGTTACTCACTTTTTTAGGTAATATATACTTGTATCTTTTTAGATTACTTACTACCTAACTTGTTTTAAACTTACCATATTTGAATGCACCATATTAATATAAAAAATAAGATGTATTCCATTATCATACAATGCATTCACCGCAAAAAATAAAAAATATTTTGTTGCTTAGTATTTTTGTCTTTCTAGTATAAATATCTAAACATTCTTGAATCAAGATGCATTTCCTTGGCAAATATATTATGTCATGTTTTCTGAAGAAAAAAAATATTTTGAATTATGATTATTCTTCTTACCCCATTGGCAGATATTTTTGCTTGTTTTAAGCAAATACTACAAAAAAAAAAATTGTTTTTTTTTTTTGGGAAAACAAGACATAATATATTTGTCAAGTAAATGTATCTTGATTCAAGAATGTTTAGATATTTATACTAGAAAACAAGACAAAAATACAAAGCAAGAACATTTTTTATTTTTTTTGCTTTGTTAAACATTACATAAAACCAGAGTCGCTGGATATGATGATGACATCATGTTTCACAGCTATACATCACCAGTGTTTAGTAACTTGCAGAAGTTTTTTTTTTTTTTTTTTTTTTTAAATGTATTTACACAACATTTACATGGCTATTCTATTTTGTGAATATAGTCAAAGCTAAATGGTATGAGACACAGTAGGGGTTTTAGAAAGGACATTTTAAAAGAGAAAAAAATAATCAATTCATTTGGAACAATTTACTGCCAAATTATGAATACTATGCAATCATGTAATCCATAAAAAGTAACTGTAATCCAGATTATTGTAAATGTATTTACACAACATTTACATGGCTATTCTATTTTGTGAATATAGTCAAAGCTAAATGGTATGAGACACAGTAGGGGTTTTAGAAAGGACATTTTAAAAGAGAAAAAAATAATCAATTCATTTGGAACAATTTACTGCCAAATTATGAATACTATGCAATCATGTAATCCATAAAAAGTAACTGTAATCCAGATTACATGTAATCAGTTACTACCCAGCACTGTTTATACAATACAGACTGTTTCAAAGCAGCTTCACGGTGATGAACAGGAAAAGAACAGTATTAATGATACAAAGCAATACACTTTGTAGTTTGTCTACATGTTGCAACTAATGCATTTCTTAATAGTGCAAAACCTTTTTCCACAACCATCATCATCATCATCATCATCAATCAGAAACATTTTATTAGACAACATTTTTATTCAGTAAACTCAGTTTAGGACTTGCTTTGTAAGATTTACCAGAAAATGTTTTGGAAATTTTTATCAGATGTAAATGTAAAACTTCTTGCATAATCTTAATTGCTGTATTTGTATTTTTTGTATTTTATTTTATTGTATTTATGCAACTCTATTATGCAACTGTAACGCAGTTCTTGCCATGAGCCTCAGTTGCTGATATTATAACCTTCACTACTCCTACTTGTCAATCAGTTCACCTATTTCTCTAAATTACCAGCATTCTGAAGTCACATCACCTTTAACATCTATTATGACCAGAATTGTGAGGATGAACGATTGACTGATTTTTGAAAATTCCCCTCCAGTCGTTGTAATCTGGACACTGTCACTGAGTTGCACTGATGTTTTGATCTGGTGTTTTCTCAGGTACGTCTCTGACCATCGGTCTGTCTGTGGCTGCCGTTCTGATCATCATTGGACTCGTATCATTCACAGTGATTTACTGCATGAGGCGTAAGACTCAAGATCAAACTCTTTCCTTTTTTTGTGTTGAACTAGTTCGATAGCTTTCTTTGCATGTCATTTGTTACCGTTTTACAGTTTTGTCATATTCATTTATTTATCAGAATGGTGCAAGTAAATTGCATGGTTGTCTGAGAAATAATGAGTAAATGAAAAGATGTTATTTCCCCCCTGCTGGTCAAAACAAGACAATGCACAGTTGATCTTTATTTTACAATCTATGTATATTTACAATGTACTTAGCCAAGAACATACTCAGTAATATACAGTAACTGCATGGGTTAAGGCTAGATTCAGGGTTAGTTACTATTACCCAGTAATATATTGTAATTACTACAATAAGTACATAGTATGTACATGAGGAATATTACTGTAAAATAAAGTGCTCACAAATGCACTGTGAAGTGGTGTGCGGTGTAATTACAAAATAAGTATTTATGTGTTTGCTTTAAAGTCTATTGGTGAAGTGAAAATGTTATATTTAATATATTTATTCCATGTGGTATTTTGTCTTGAAACCCAAACAGTGAAGTCTTCTTTGATTATTTTTTTATTTTTTTATTTTTATTTTTTATTTTTATTTTTTTGTAAATGTATGTGAAATAAAATGCCATCTGATGAATAGAAAGTGGATGGAAAGTTTCTCCCAAACAAAGTAAAACAAATAAAATTACAACATAAATTTTAAACATCTAAAATGTTGAGCATGAATGTGAAAGATTATTATATTTAATGTAGTATAATATTTGTTTTACAGGCGCTAATTCAGCCTCTAAAATGCCCAAACCCGGAACAGGAAACAGTGAAGCGGTTTGTTAAATCAGCGTGTTTGATAATAATGTGTTTGTATGAATATGACCATAATCCTGCTGTGATGTCTGGGAACCTCGAGAGCTGTGAATAATTTCTCATTCTCTTCAAAGGTTCCTCAAACCGGTTTCATTTATGAGGAAATTGCAGACACCAGACCTCACACTGATCCAGATACAGGAACTAAAACAGTCTATGCTACTCCAGGATTACCCACAAACCCCTCTGATTCTACTAAAACAGTCTATGCTACTTCACAATTACCCACAAACCCCTCTGATTAGTTGTTCCATCATCATCATCATCTACTGAGGGTCTGAAAGACACAGACGGTCCTGATGATGTTCCTTCAACAATTATCTGTCTTCACATTAATGTCTATCATTGCATGCAGTTATGAGCCAGTCATTACAGTAAATACATGTTAGTGATCGACTGTTTCAGTTTGTTATTTGCTCAGTAAACACCACCATTGCACCTGCTGAAAGGATTTATGTAATGTTTTCTCATTTTGCTTAAAATTATATGTGCAATAATGTGTTTTATGTGTGTATCGTTGTATATAACTGTGAACAAAATAAAAGATGATTGTTCTTTATAACAATACCGTGTTATTATTTTGACATCAAATCACATCAGTAACTAATGTTCTTGTTCTTACAAAGTCAGCAGCAGCTCAGGTCTGTCCATATAAACTGCATTATGATTTGATTTATGTTTCAGTTACACAGCTCCTGAAGGTCAGTTATTCTGCATTATGTTTTATGAGTGAAGAGGATTCTGGGATGTACCAGTGTGCCGCTGATATCTCTTGGGATAAAGATTTCTACTCTGAAGTGAATCTGAATGTTTTAACATGTGAGTAACTGAGACTCTGAAACTCGTGATGATCTCCACTATATCAGCACAAACACTGACTGTCATTATTGTGATTCGTACACTACATGTAATCCTCTAAAAAAAACATCAGAAAATCAATAACAGGACAAATGTATTTTTTTTTATCTTGCAATATAGATTTACACTTATAAAATGAGTAAGCAACCAGATGTCTTAATTTAATACAAACTGACAAATGATCAAAGCTTTAAAAAGTCTTTAAAAGGAAGTGAAGTATCAGTGATTGAGAAAATATACACATCTAGCACTCCATCTTACTGACACTTTACTGTGTTTTAGATGCAAACAGTCACAGAATATCTACATCACCATCATCATCATCTTCATCTTCATCTTTCTCACCAGGAGAATCTCCACTGATCTCATCTGCGTCTCCTGTAACAGGTACAAACTCACTGATTTCTGTCAGTCGGTCAGTTTTGATCTTCAGAGTGATTGAGTGAATCTCTGGTGTTTGCAGGCTCTTCTCTGATCATCAGTGTGTCTGTGCTTCTTTTTCTGATCTTCACTGTGATTCTGTTGGTGATCGTCTCTCTCTGGAGGAGGCGTCAGTCTCACGGTAACACTCCTGCTCCTTTACTCCCTCCTACACATTTAGTTTCTTTAACAGGTTTGTGTATATATTTCCTACAATGATCAAGCTGGTCCGTTAACATTCAAAGAGATGTGATAATGTCTAATCAATGTACGAAGGAAAATAATAAATGTATTGAGATATGATATGATCCACATGGGTATACAATTTCGTTCATCTATTTATTTTTGACAGTCGCTCATCCCTCATCCAGAAGATCTCACAGGACACCAGCAAACACTGACACGGTTAGAATTAATGTGATTTTAAAAAATATGTTTGTTTTCATCAAACATAAGATCTAATTGTAGTATCTGATTATTGAAAGACTGAATTATTATTAAATTTGTATAAAGCTCTTTCTCTCCCCAGGCTTCTAATTATCATTGTGATTACGAGGAGACTGAAGACAATCGCAGACAATTACCCACAAACCCCTCTGATTCTACTAACGCAATCTATGCTACTCCAGAATTACCCATAAACCCCTCTGATTCTACTAACAGAGTTCACACTTTAACATCGCAGAAGTCCACGTCTTTCAGTCATCATCATCTACTGAGGGTCTGAAAGACACAGACGGTCCTGATGATGTTCCTTCAACAATTATCTGTCTTCACATTAATGTCTATCATTGCATGCAGTTCTGAGCCAGTGATTACAGTAAATACATGTTAGCGATCTGCTGTTTTTAGTTTATTTACTCAGTAAACACCACCATTGCACCTGCTGAAGGGATTTATGTCATTTTCTTAATATGTTTAAAACATGGTGTGCATTTGTGAACAAAATAAAAGATTATAAAAGAAGTATAAATAAAAGCATTATTATTTTAGCATCAAACCACATCAGTAACTCATTTTCTTACAAAGTCAGCAGCAGCTCAGGTCTGTCCATATAAACTGCATTATGATTTGATTTATGTTTCAGTTACACAGCTCCTGAAGGTCAGTTATTCTGCATTATGTTTTATGAGGTGTAATGCCATCTTCTGGACTGACTGAGACTGTGTGTGTGTGTGTGTGTGTGTGTGTGTGTACCTGGTATTTATCACGTTATGGGGACCAAATGTCCCCACAAGGATAGTAATACTAGTCAATTTTGACCTTGTGGGGACATTTTTGAGGTCCCCATGAGGAAACAAGCTTATAAATCATACAGAATTAGTTTTTTTTGAGAAAGTAAAATTGCACAAAGTTTCCTGTGAGGGGTAGGTTTAGGTGTAGGGTTGGTGTAGTCCGTGGTGCTGAACACCATCTGAACACTGAGGGAGCCGCTGGACTCTCATTCCTCAACACTTTCATTTCTCCTTTATTTGTTTCACTTTCGTTTCAATCTGATGTGTTTGATATGTGTCTCCTGATGTCCCTGTGAAGACCAGATTCATTGAAGGAACTGAAAGAGTAAAAGAGACATTCAAACAAATACGTAGAGTTTTATTCAACTGGTGACTAGTTTTATGAACGTGAATTCACTTATTATTATGTTTAACATTATTATATATAAGTTAATATGCTAAATAAATTAAATAAGAACGTTGAATGTAAAAATGCGGAGGATTTTAAAGTGTAATTATCTAACTGTAATATAAACCAGTAATAATGAAACAATCAGAAACGTGTGCAGTTACCATAGAAAGCGCTGCTGTTTGGATGTGTGTCAATCATTTTATTTTCACTTCCCCCATTATTCTCTCTCCCTCTCTATCTGTGGCAGATATATAGAGGAAGTGGGCATCTCTGTCACATTGATCAGTTCATGTTAAACATGTAACCAGGAAAGAAACACTAAAACTCATCTGTTTACACATCGAGAGCTCCAGAAGAACTGAATCTACTAACAACAGAGAAGATCACTGAATAAGAGACAAGAATGAAGATCATCTGGACTTTCACTCTGCTGATGATTCCTGGTGAGTATCTGACGAAACCATTTAAACGTTCGTCTCATTTAACCCTCATAATTATCATAACTACAGTATTGTATTAAGATGCTGGTTTGTTGTAGGTGTGGTGAGCTACATTAGTGTTACAGGATATTCAGGAGGAAAAGTCATTATCACATGCAAATATGAAAGAAAATATACAGAAAATGCAAAGTATTTTTGTAAAGGACAGAAGCCAGTTACACCACAGATTGGATGGTGCTCAGACCTCATCAAGACTGAAGAGAAAAATGAATGGGTTGATTCTGGAAGATTCTCTCTGTTTGACGACACAAGAGCAGCAGTTTTCACTGTGACCATCAGAGATCTGAGTGAAGAGGATTCTGGGACACACCAGTGTGGAGTCGATATCCGTATCAGTGAAGATTTCTACACTGAAGTGAATCTGAACATTATAACAGGTGAGTGACTGAAACCCTCAAACCTGTGATGATCTCCACAACATCACTACACTATAATTAATTCAAATAAACGATGAGTGTAATCCTAATGCGCTATTATATTTTACTTCAGAATTCTATCTCTAACAGCCCATATAAAATAAGTAACCATAATTAAGAAATCAACAGATTTTTTTTTTTTTTTTTTAAATCAAAGCATGAATAACAGCTTTTACTTGTCCATTCTGGTATAAGTGTGATTATGCATGGCTAAGGATTTTCTGCTTTGCATCAGGAATTTATTTGGCTAAAATAGTTTCATCCGCACCTAGCCATGGATCATCTCTTACATTTATTTAAAACTCTTCCTGAGAGTTTAAAGTTGCTGAAAAGCACAAGCGCTTTGTGGTTTTGTGTGTGAAACATTCCTGATTGGTCAATAATTAGTGAAAGACATCAGCGTCTGTGAGAAAAGGGAAGTGAAGTAAGAAGAAAACATTTTATTTTCTTGTAAGTGACACTGCCTTTTCTGTGATTTAGAGACAAACTATAACAGAACATCATCATCTTCATCTTTCTCACCAGGAGAATCTCCACTGATCTCATCTGCGTCTCCTGTAACAGGTACAAACTCACTGATTTCTGTCAGTCGGTCAGTTTTGATCTTCAGAGTGATTGAGTGAATCTCTGGTGTTTGCAGGCTCTTCTCTGATCATCAGTGTGTCTGTGCTTCTTTTTCTGATCTTCACTGTGATTCTGTTGGTGATTGTCTCTCTCTGGAGGAGGCGTCAGTCTCACAGTAAAACTCCTTTTACTTTCTTTAAAAGACAATGTCTATTTTTCCATGTTGCACATTGCAAACTGGTGCATTAACATTCATAGAGACATTTTTAGTATTATTTTTCTTTCTTTTTTTTTTCTCAGAACAACTTCATGAAAATCTCCTGCTGAAACAACTACAAATGAGCAAAAATAGAGAAATTCGAGATTGAGGTTGATTTGATGTTTGTCTTTGACAGACGCTGATTCTGCATCCAGAAGTTCTCATGCGACAAATGGAAACAGTAAAGCTGTTAGTACAATAACTATGATTGGAAAGTTATGTTTGTTTTGATCAGTAAAAGATAAATAATTCTAGCGCTGTTAATATTAATAAATATTTACAGTAAGTTTATTAATTTAATAATGAAATAAAAACAGTTCTCTGTCTCTCTTTAGGTTTCTCACGCTGGCTGTGATTACAAGGAGATGAAAGACACTCACGAACAATTACCCACAAACCCCTCTGTTTCTCCTGACTGTGTTTACGCTACAGTTCAGAAAGCCACTGGTGACTCTCAGATCTTGATCACATCTGCTGAGGATCTGAATTATGCCGTGGTGAATTTCCACAAGAAAGCGGACTGTCCTGACAGTGTCCGACTGAGGAATAATCAGGATTACAGTGAATACCCTGCTGTCAATCATCTCACTGCCTGACAAGAAACAGCAGAGAACGCTTGTAACAAAATGATGGACATTACTGATGGCCTGGCACCAAATGACACACGTACTGCATAAACAGATAATGTCAGAGAAAAATGGTTTCCTCCAGATGAGTTTCATCTCTTTCTTCCAAATCTGATACATAAACATTTGCTACAGTTTGTCACTTGTGTATTTCAAGTTTAAGGCATTAATGTGTGATTTTCTGTTAAGCTGCTTTGAAACGATATTGAAAGTGAAAAGCAATACGTGAATAAAAATTATGTGGTCTTTTTTGGACAGGATCATCTGGATTCAGTGTGAGGTAAAGCTTTCTTTGCCTGATTGAAAGGTGAAGTGTGTATTTTATGTGACACTAGCGTCATCAACAAAACACTGTTTTCAAATGTTTTCAATGTCTCTTATGGAGGAATCTACTGCTGATCACATTAAAAAAAAAGTCACAAAAAAACATTAATCATCATTATATATTGTTACGACCCTCCTTTAGTTGTTAAACGTCAGTGTTTCCCAACTGGGGTGCAGTCTGTCGAGAGCAGGGGTGCCGTGTAAAAAATCTTTTTAGATTGCTAAAATGTTCAAAAAAGCAGCTATTATATAATATCCATTTCTGATGTCGCCAATAATTAGAGATACACTGAAATTCCGGCTGCCGAAAATTAGTTCACCGCTCAGGATTCACTTAGTACGTAGTACAGTATTGTTTCTGTTTGCAATAGCCCTACTGTGCTGTATAACAAGGTGTGGTAAATGGGCAACTCTGGTAATGCTGCCCTCTCATTCATTGATTTGCTAACCGTTATGCTCACGTGTCCTCTGATAAACTTTCTAGAGCCCTATTAGCACGGGATTAGTATTATCTGGGGACCTTGTGATTTTGAAATTACCCCCCAACATCTGAATTTCGTGTGGTGCATTCGCACGGGATAAGCGAAGCCTGTGATTTTACTCGAATTTACTGACTTGTCTCCCGGATACCCGGATGTCAAGGCTTTGAGAGTCCCATTCTATGGTCCAGATGGATTTAAAAAAAAAGAAGAAGAAACTAATATAGTTTCGTGCGCTGTGTCATTTACATTTCACCAGGTTAAAATAACATCAAGCTTTATGCTTGATTTGTAACACATTAACCTCAAAACCTTTTCAGCTTTCTCTTTCTGCAAATTGTATGGTGTAGCGATATGATGACAGCCCCAAAATACAATCAAACACCAACGCAGCTCCATTCTTCGCGAAAGATGCATAAAAAGGCGCACAGCAAACAAAAACCTCAAAAAATGATATGCGACCCGCCAAATGCTGGCCGAATCACAGAGATGCTGATTCGCACGGGACTAATATTAGCACAGGACCTGGGTGTTCGGCGAAATATGGTAGGTCATTTGCGGGGGAATTTTTACTTTACAAATTACAGACATGGCCGATTCGCACGGGATTAAGACAACCTCCGCAATTATTACAAATGACCTGCTGTACCGAATATCTATACTTTTCAAAGTATCATATCGAAGGTAGAAATTCAAATACTGTGACAAAATTTATTTTGTAGAGTGCCACAAATTTGTTAAAATTTCCAAAGGGTGCCGCGACTAAAGAAATGTTGGGAAACACTGGTTTAGGG